ATTTAGCGATGCATCCATCTCCAAAAAAAGACGGGACTTTGCTCACACTTTCTTGTTTTTTTTTCTTCTTACTTTGTGAATTTTGCTTCAACACCGCTTCATGTTTGACACTCTTAAGTGCACATCCTCGGATCAAACATTCAAAACAATGTCTAAGCACAACCGTCATACTGATTGAAACTCCGATCAGCAGAAGTTTTCCACTCTTAAGAGTCATTATGCATGTCTATGATTTGAAAGACAAAAAAAAATGCAAATACCTGCATTACCCGCTCAGAATGTCTGAAATTTCAGCACCAACACTGTAGTTCTACTAATTAATTCAAACACCTTCAATTCCTATAGCTCCTTCATTTGCAGAGGCAATGTAAATGCTACGCTGGTAATGCATGTTGATGAACCGAACGAACGCTGATTAAAATCAAATTCGAAATAAACTATTTTCTGCGAATACTAGTTTGGAAGTTATCAGAGCCACTGGGAAGGAGCGCCTCCGCAGTACTGATCGGACAAAGCGTGGGATTACTGAGGTGCTAATTAACCAACCGCCTCGAGCACGAACACTGTGCTAAAATTGAGGGCTCCATCCATGTTTAATGCTTGTGGTGTTGTTGGCCGCCCAAAGTAGTCTATTACACTAACATGAACCAACTGCAATGAACGGAATTTTTGTTCAGAATGCTTACGTTTTTCGAAAGAGGATGAATAATTTTATTGCTCAGCTTAAGTTAAGCTGAGCCAATTTCCTTGTTTTGTTTGACTCCTCAGTGTCTTAGCATTCTCTTCTTCCAAAGCACACCCAGTGAAATAGGGTTTCTGTACCTGCAGATTTGGTATTTTAATCTTTTCGGGGTACGAGGTTGTTAAATTCTTGAAGTGGACCATTGACTGGGGGCGGACTCAGAATGCCTACTCAATAAAAAAAGTGAGTATGAAGGGACAATTTTAGGCTATTTGAAGCTAAACTTATGCACCAAATCTTTAATACCTTTTTGATGCGAATTTTCGTACTACATCGCCATAAATAGGGGCCAGATGCAGTCCATCATAATCTCACGCAAAATTACTTAAAGCAATTACCTCGCAGTGAATGCAACATTATACATGAGGTTTTCATGTAAATTTGTTCCTTTGAAAGAAGGGAAATAGTTTACTTGTAACTCGTTCACATCTAAATGATTGGTGTTTTAAATGCTTTAGTAAGTATGTACTTATTTACAAATTTTTGACCCCCAACAATCAGATGAAACACATAAACGAGGTGATTAGCTGATTATGCTTTACAGATTTGTCTTAGTTCCTTGGTATAAAGTCGACCGAAAGTTGAAAACATCCAGTCCGCTTGTATCCCCGCTGACCCCATCGCCTCACCTCAAATGTCTCGCGCTATCTTATCATCTTTGACTCCTTCTCGCTCCAAATGCTTAAGTTCAGTCTCAGGCAAAATAATCGTCCTAATGCACCTCAGTAATGATTGAGGAACAAATTTGCATTGAACGCTAAATAAGCCTCCCTTTATTTGCCTCACCAGCACTTTATGAGATGAAGAACGTGTGTTTTAATGATACACATCGAGGCAATATTAAAATTGTCTTTTCCTGAAAATACCGCTTCTTATTAAAACTGCAAAACTAAGAATGCGGTATTATATCTTAGGGGAGTCAGGATCCGAGACTAAAAATTTCTGAATGTCTGGCTTCACAAAAGCTTCGGAATTTGCAGCTGCAACATTCATTGACAATGACAGGTTGCAACGAACATTCTTTGTCCACATTTGGCCGATGATGAGCAAGAAAATAGCGTTATTCAAATTACAGAAACACGATATCTACGGAATGTGTAGAGTCTTGCGAAAGTTGGGCTGAGGGACTTGACTCCTAACATGCTTAAAATGTTAACGATACCTCCAAAGAAGGCAATCGACTATGTTAAAGGAGTGCGACAATTTTACAGTCATGTATGCTTCGTCCTATGAAGTAGCGAAGTTCGGTGGAGGACACATGAACTGTGTGGAGGTCCAACCTGGGTGGAACTCAGGTAAATTTATTGACCTCTAGTGATGTTCATAAAGTCGATTTGCTATTCGGGATGGCCAGAACCTAAAACACGGCTGTCAGGTCTTGATAGTCCTTTTCCTTCTCGATATTATTTCCTTTCAGCCCTTATAAATTTGTAGTCAAATAAGTACCTATTCAAAGCAAACTTGGCAGAACTGGGCAAAATGCAGAAGAGCGTAGATACGCATCTTTTAAATGCATTGTTCCAAGAAATTTTGCTCTTAAGCTTTACTCTCCATATCATTAAATCAGAAAATGCAGTCGAACGAATGTTTCAAAAGCACCTGACGCATGGGATCAAATGTAAGTCAAGATCAGCATCGCCTATAGAATGCTGACAAACCCTTCGGACCATCATATGTTGCGACAACGTAGTAGTCAAACAGTTTGTAGTGCTTTAACTAAACATACTTCACAACAGCTTTGGCTTCATTTCTGGTAAAATCATTT